GAGATGATCACATCCAACCTACTAATGCCCTTTTGAATCACCGTCTTCCTGTCAACTATTGTCATATTCTAAAAGTTGGCCCTGGTTCGGGTACCAGTTTTGGATGACACACAGGTAAAAAAACGTTTCCTTCCATCCATCTCTATTGAAAACTCATCAAAATCACCTCACGAAAGGAATGGACCATTCTTCCAGGTCAACAGACTACAGTTGCTGGTAGAGTATCAAGTAACTCTAATCACCAAGTCAATAATCACTTAAATGTGTCCACTTAATCTAGACCAGTATTTTTCTCCCAGCAACTCGGAAATGCTACATAATAAGCTCCTAACTTGGGCTACCCTGTTTTGAAACAAGAGGTCACGAATCCCTGGAAAAAAATGTATACTTTTCTCAGGCTGAAAGTTAAGTCCTCAAAGTTTGGTGTTTACCAGTCCTCATCTAAATACTCACCAACGTTGCTCTCAAATTTCTAAAAGGCTCAAAACTGGGGTGGTAAAACCAGACTACATAATAGCAATATCAACTAGTCATAGCTTCTAATCATGCCCATGACAAGGTTAGTAGTGAACGTGGCAGACTAAATGCCAAGCCGTCCACACCTTCCTTGACAACCGCAAAATTTTTGTTGTATCGTATTGTGCATCACTTGGGCATCCCTCAGGACAGCTGCGTTGGCCCGTCAAGAAATGTCTTAACTGCTGAAACAATTATGGTTCCTGCCCATATAAGGGCTCTTGCATTGTAGATCTATACAATATACATGCCTCAGACAAACAGACTTCAAATGTGTAAAGGAAAAAGCTGAAGGACAATGGTTAGCATGATTTCAATGTGTATAAATATTTGCTCATATGTGTAACTTTCTACAAGATTACACAATAATTTTAACAAGTGACCTTATAATAGACTAGAGGAGGTAATTATTTTTCAATGTACATACTACTGTTATTTCTTACCTTGAGCATGTTTTACTTTTATAATTGTAAAGACACCCTAAATCCTGACAGTCACTGAGTGGCAATAAAATGGCTTTTTATGATTGGGTTGAGAAAGTTAAAATGCAGTGGAACAAAAGGATCTGGAGTCGGGGCTGGCCTGGATTCTGAATATACTGCTATTTTAGTAGGATGCATAATAATGTGTAAATGAACACTTTCTGGCCTCTGTGATATTCACCTCTCACGTGGTTCAAGATCCTATGGAAATGGCTCTGCCCGATGTTTGGTAGAGAGGTGCCCGTGGGCATTACTTCCTTTCCTCACCGCTCCAGTTGTCTTCACTGAAGCTCCCAACACCTTAAAAGGCAGATACCTTCTAAGGTTCAGTCCTTAGCCCTCTCCTTATCAGTGTGTTCACCCACTTCTCCCAACCTCACTCCTTGAAGCCAATTTCATGTCAAATGGACTGTCACACATTGCCAACTGAAGTCAGTAAACTACCTGTTCTCCATTAAATCCCAGACAGCTAGAATACATGAGCCAGCCATTCATTAGTACACTAACAGCCCCAACTTCTTGGCTTTCCTGTCAGTACTAAAGCTGGACAAGTTACCCAATACCCGCTTATTCAAAAGTATGGCTAGGCCGGGCATGGTGGCGCACAGCTGTAACCCCAACACTTTGGGAAGCCAAGGTGGGAGGATCACTTGAGGCCAGGAGTTTGAGATCAACCTGGGCAGCACAGCAAGACCCCATCCTCTGCAAAAAATTAGCCAGATGTGGTAGCACACGCTTATAGTCCTAGCCAGTTTATGGATGCAGTGAGCTATGACTGGGCCAATGCACTCCAGCCTGGATAACAGTGAGGCTTCATCTATCTCTAAAAGAGTAAAATAGATCAATTTAAAATCCCCGAAAGTATGGCTAATGGGAAGTCAAAAACCATCAAATTCCATCTACTTCAAATTTGTAGCTTAACAATCCTGTTTTACATTTACATTCTGCTGGTTTATATTCTCAATTGCTTCCCGCTCCAAACTTATGATTAAGTCATTCGTTTCTTCCTCTTCACTTCAGATTCATTTGTATCATTTGAATGTGAGTTCTTCCTTATGTCCCCCCACACCTTGCCATTTTGCCCAATTCACTTGGTTTATCCTGCTAGCACTAAGGGGCTTTTCAAAGGACCCTCTACTAAAGATTTGCTGCCTAACTCCAGGTCTAAGAGTCATCCTCACAGGGCATATAAAACATTACAACCAACACCTCTTTATTATTCTAATCTAAAACGGGTGAAGATGAATTGTTTAGTCTAAAAGTCACAACAGCCTAAAATTAACTCCAAACACAAATATTACATATGTTCTTTCTAGATATTGGCTGTACCCAATTCCTCACTAAATGCCTGTGTCATGGACTTTGCCCAGCGAAGGTGTCAAACAAATGACAAATCAACATTCCAATATGTATTTACCTGTACTCTCTCTCCTTGAGAATGTAACATGGGTGGTTTTATCTAAACTAAAAATAAATTTCCTCACTATAATGAGATTCTGGTAACAGACAGCCAGTTGGAATGGGTTAAGTGACCAGCTGCCTGAGTTTAAGATTTAGAAATTGTTTCCTGAGGGGGTTATTCTTTCAAAAATGAAACTAGGTCCCAAAATTTACGCTATACTATTTTTTATGCTCACATAATTCCCATTTCCTTTTCCTAATGACCAATACAAACTGCAAATCTCTACTTCCCCCTCCCCTCAGGCAGTATTTTACAAGTTAAGTTGCATCAGGCCACTTCAACACCATTCTTCTTGGCTTCAATTAGAACTTTGGGGGCTTTGCAAATAAAAAGAATGCCACCTTGCTCCAGACGAAATCTGAATGAGGTATACACCGAAACACAGGTGCCCACCACAAATGAACAAGGCTTTAAAAAGAAGGGAAGAGTCTTTTAATCTATATATCTTTTCTGGGAAGCTTAATTTTGCTCTGGAAATAGAGTGAAATATTCTTCATTTCAGGACCTCTCCAAATGATGACCCACGAGGAAGTGAAGTATCAGTGTTTTGAGATTTTCACTTGTCCAAAACACACACATTAACTTATAGCAGTAAAGACTAGTACTAAGTGGCCACATTCCAAGACTTTTGTAGTAAAATATGTGTTATGTCAGAACTGAGGAAAAACTGAAGTTGAGAAAAGCAATGTTCTATACATATATCTCATGTTAGCTTAGAAATCACTTTTGGCTGTCCTGAGTTCCAGAGAATTAAGAGAAAGCACTAGGATACTAAATGATGAGAATCTAAACACTGTATTAGGAACTTCTGCAATCCAACAAGGGAAAAGTTTTGTGGGCAAAACTAAGCAGTTATACTGAACTTATCAAAACAAATTTCAGTGACTCCATCTCAGAACCTGAAAGGTGCTACAGCTCAATTCTTTTCAGGTATCCAATGAATCCTTAATAAAACAAGATGAAGAGAATTAGTATGAACACAGAAAAATCAAATTCAACAAACACTACTGGATTATGTGGATAAAAATGTACTTCCAACCCAGTTTTTCTTCAGTGACTTTAATTATAAATCTTTTATGTTCTTAAAAAAATGGAAAACCAGAAAGCAACAGTCTAGTAGTACAAAAATATACAACTGGAAGAGATTACCGCCAACTAGATCTGACAACTAAATCCCATTCAGGTTTCTGAAAAAAACACATTTAGACAAAGTACTAAATCACTGGTTCTTATATAACCAAGGATGTTTATCACCTAGAGGAACACTTCCAAATTACACAGGGCTAGCTCACCCTGAAAAACTAAGTCAATGAGCCTGGAGTTAGGCTGTATATATTTTGAAGATCTCTACAATCAACACCATTCCTAATTAAGAAGCACTGTACTAAAATGAATATAATGAAAAGAAACCAGGATTTCCCATCCACATATGGGTTTGAGTGTGAGCCACTACTAACTGTGGTCTAATAGGGTACAGATGCATTTACAGATCACATGATCTTTTCAAGGATCTCTAAGATATTCAAACATATGAATGGTACATACAGGATAGCTATGCCTTGTAAAACTGAAGTTTCTCTGGCAAATTTTGTTTTCAACTTTCTGCTTAAGATATGGAGGTCAGAAGCAACCCATGAAGAACTAAGAACCACAGACCAAGTTAAATACTCTTGAAAGCATAAAAGCCAATTATAATCCTTAGAAGTTTCCTTATATTATCACAAAATATTAACAGTGACTTCTAGTGAACACCTGTTGTCAAAGTTGTTTTGTGACTTAGTATTACAATCAACTCAAGAAGATGAAGACAACTAGCTAACGTGACCTGTAATTTTAGAAATTACAGAAGCTTCAGAATTTCCAAATAGCCACAATCAATTCAAGGTTTTAACAACCTCCATGTTCCAAATATTCTACAAGCCATAAAATTGTGCTTAAGACTTCCGGTTAAAGTAATTGCCGATTTGTAAGGAAAGGATAACTCCCTGATGAAGTCAACTTTATTTCAGGTTCTATATTATTCCTCTATTAGCCACATTATACCTACCATAACCAATTGTGCTTTTTACAGAAACTCTTCCAATTTAAGACTCCAAGTTGTATACTGCCCAAAAAAGCCCATATAATTGTCCATTTAAAAAAGCAGTATAACTGACACACCATATTGCTTCCTTAACTTCTTAGCTATCTTGCCTTGTTCCTAATAAGAACATGTATATTTAGGCCATGGGGAAACACCAAAAGGTCCAAAAACCCAGAGGTCCCAGTACTCAACAGGCCATCTTAAAGTGTCTTCTTGGAACATGCCCAACTGTAAGGCTCATACTGAACCTTCCTGACAGCAATTCTCCCCTCCCTTGTTGAGATTTGTGTGAATGTTTAATAGGACCACTGGAAATAATTTTAGGACCTAAATCTCAATACGGCCTTATAGATTTAACTCTTACTGCAATGACTTATCTTTCATGTTAAAGACAAAGTCAGTATAGCATAATCAAAACTATCTTGGAAGAGCATATTTAAGGAAACTAAGCCACAAGACTGTTGCATTATGATTTAATCTAATTGCACAAAAATTTGAAATTACAACTCCTCCCATTTTCTAAAAGGAAGGTTATGCATGCTTCCATATTCAATTCTGCACTATTACATTTGAACCATATCGTGATCTTTACATCATGATGGACTGGTTTAGAATTCCCATGCAATACCTCAAATTATAAAATGGAAGCAAGTTTTAAAACTTTGTGGAAACTTTTCATGCTTAAGATAAAAACCAATTTTAAAGGGGCAACTCTGGGTTATAACGTACCAGGTTGCTGCTGTATTTTAAAATATTGGTCACTGTCATGGACCTTAAACTGGCTTCTACTCCTTAAAAGAATGGGTAATTATTATCACTTAGGTGATAACTAAATATTCCCGTCACTTCAGAAGACTAATCCATAGTGTCTCTCAGTTATCTTTCTCATAAAATAAGAATTGTGTAACCAACTGCTTCCCCCGGGGTAAGAACAATGGTAACAGTGGGTTCAACTGACTATTACACAATTATGCTAATATTTTATTAATTCAAAAGCACTTTACAAGAAAATATAAGTATGGCTTCCAATAGGAATGTTATACCTGGACTTTGTACCAAGCTCACAGATTTGAGTTTGCAAGGAAAAACAGGCTTTCAAGTTAAACAACAATTGTAACCAAAACTTTAATCCCAAGGATTCTCACAAAACATATTACAAATGACAGCATGGAAAAAAAAATCTTGCACAGTAACTCAAAGTTCAGCTCTACAATGTACCCTTAAACTGGCAGGACATTGGTATTTCGATTATCTCAAATTTCCAAATAAAGAACGTTACAAACAGCTATGTATTCATATATAGCGATCACGTAAGGAACTTAACTTAGGATCTAAAGCAAAGGAAAAACTTTCTTAGAATTTACCAGATTCCATACCAATTAGGCGACCTCTGCCTGGGGTGAAAACCAGTTGGATTTTTCAAAAACCTCTAATTTAGTATAACGGTGCAGCTTTTATTTTTACCTGCTGGCTTGTTTCACAGCAGCTTCTGAAGACTGCTTGTTCAACCACAGCTGCACACTATATCCCAAATGTGGGAAAAAAAGTAAATCTTAGTTCAATTTTTGCCAATTTTGTTTCTATATTTTAAAAAAATCCACACTTCAGCTGGGCAGGATTTAGAGGTTTATTATTAGTTTATACAAAACTAAAAAGCAAATTCAGTTTTGCTTAAGGGAACATTGTAAAGTAACAATTCTTGGTATTACATGCCTCATATGATCCATTTCAAACCATAGAGAATTAGAGCTTTTGTGTCACTGTTCCAAGAGACAAACAAATTTGAACAGCTAAAACATCTTAAAAATGCACCAAGCTTATGAAGTCTCAAACAAAACTTGAATTTTCTGTACATACTCCTGTCAAATGAAGTCATTTCCTGTACACCACTTCTCTTGCAAACTGGTCTTCTATTTCCTTTCATTTGACCTAGATCGGCTAAAACAAAGAAAACAAAAACTTTTACATCTGTAACTCGGTGACACTTAGTGACATATTATCAATAGATTAAGATAAAAAATTATGGCTTAAAAGACGGACCTCAGTGTATTATAGGTATGCAAGATCTTACCTTCGAGACCTAGAGAAGGATCGGGAGGGCTTATGATTTCTCTCCCGAGACAGTGATCTCTCTCTTCTCCTATCTCTAGAAAGGGACCTAAACCAGAGAAAGAACATGAGGGCCACTTTAAGTATGATAATTACACTTAACGGAATTATTTTCTAAGAAGTCTTTAAAAACTAAAAGCTGGCTTATCCTTACAATCTAATATTGGCTTTATATGCCACTTGATTCACTGCTAAAATCAAGGTCTATTCCCATTAACCAAGTCATTTGGAAAAAACAGCTTAGGAATAGCAGAAACACTGCCACTTCTGAGAACGTAGCCAAAATAGGTAGAAGTTATTTACCTGCTCCGGCTCCGAGAGAAGCTTCTCCTTCTTGGAGATCTAAAAGCAGAAACGGGAAAATTAGGCTAATCATCAATTATCATTTATGGCGTGAGGTATTTCCCAACTTTTCAATCTCACTGTTGGGCCCAGTGAATGTGCCGAAGAACTGGCACCCATCGTCCAAAAACAAACAAATAAATAAATAAAAAGAAAAGAAAAAAAAGGCACAGAGAGATTAAGGAACCAAAAAGCTCAAGTGAAAAGCAGGTATTCCAACCATGGATTCACTTTAACAAAGAATGCTTCACAGCAGATCTGTCCAATGCAAAACTTCATGTCAAACTAACTCCACTACCCAAACACCACACCAAAATGTAGTCCCACAAGTAGTTCCAAAAACAGTACCATAAACCAGTATTTGGAACCCATGCAAACCTATAAGTCCATGACAAGACTTAGGTACCAAGTGGATAGTGTAATTTTTGTGAAAACGCGCTAGGTGTAAATATTGATGCCATTAAGTGCTACATTAGAACTGCGTTTGTGATCGTCACATTTAAGAGTGTGTTTAGGCTTATCAAAATCACCTTAGCTTTGCCCACACTTCACCCCCAAAATTTTAAAATTTTGAAAACTGTTAGTAAAACCATTTAAAGGTGATAGGATTCAACAAATTTTTGCCAGAAAGGAAAGCTAAATCTGTTAGAGATATTAAAATTTTTAGTTTGGCATCTCACACATGCAAATGAGTTTCACTTGAAGGTCTAGTTACATTATGAGTTCCCTATCACCCTTAAAAGTTTTTTCAAGCAATATATATGTACGTTACCATTCAATTATGCACAGCCAGCCTTTGATCCAGAAAAAAGAATTACTTTAAGCCGCTTACTCCTTATTTTAACCAGCAGTAAACTGTATAAGCAGGAAAAACTTACTAGTTTTGGGTTTCAACAAGCTAGAAATGGTGAGGTGAGGCTGCCGGACTGACGGCCAGGAAGAATTTGCTGAAAAGGTTTTGCCAGATGTTGCGTTGGATTTAGTTGGTTGGCGAAGGGGGTGTTGTGGATTTTTCCTGCTTTTTTGTTAGCCGAAGGCTGCTGCTGTAGTTGTTGTGAAGACATTTGGTAAATAAACAGCTGAGCTGATTGGCCAGGAATGTGTGGGCGGTCGAGGTGGCTGCTGCCGATTTGGTTAAGGTTGGAGAGAAGGCTGAGAGAAAACAGCATGCTCGGGAACCAAAGGGCGGTGCAACCTGACGACTGGCCAGCCTGGGTCATGTGAAACGACACCAGCCAAGCTGAATGGGGCGCGCTGGTCACATGACGCTGAAAGGGCTAGTTGACTGGCTAATGCAGATTCAGAGGGTGGTGAGAAGAGACATGATGGTGACTCTGTAACGGGGTTCATTTTTATTAATAGATGGACCAAAAAGCACAAAAAAAAAATGAAAAACAAGCCATCAGTACAACCATCTATTAGCTAACAAATACTCTTTATTATGATGGGCAACAGTGTGTTGTTGTTTTTCAAAATAGCAAAAGGGGCAAGATTTTGAACTCCTATCTCCTAGAAGGACTTCACTCACCTGTAAGAGGTAAATTTAGTCCCACAGAAACTATTTTGGAGATTTGAGGAGATGTGGAGTTATCGTCCAGACAATACTGCCTGGTCCAAGAATGATGCCATTTTCAATTACAAAAAAACTGAATTCTCTCCTATTTGGGATTGAAGAACAGATGACTGGGATTACTTCTTTTTTAGCCCCCTTTATTGGTCAGTGACTTAAGTTAGTTTCAGAATGACTTCTACTTTACCAGTTGTAACATTAAAACAGCTGCCTGTTTGATAAATATTACAATTGTGCTAGTAGTAGAAAACACATATTGTGAAGAGCTAGAGTTGAATGTAATGTTTGTCATTATGGAGTCAAGAAATGGAAAAAGGCCTAAACTGAAGTATAAAGACTTGGAAAGATGCAACTAGAAGATGAACTAGAAGACAGATCCAAGATAGAAGTTACTGACTACCAACATGAACAGTGACCTAAAGACAAAAGCCAACACTCAGCACAACTCACATACCCCAAACTACACCCAGCAGAAGTTTCATAAAAACCTCCAATTCTTCAAGTTTAAAACCCACCAACAAACTTTAGGAGAAATACCTGCTCCTACTAGCTACTCCAATTACACCAATACCTCTAAACACGCTATCTCTCAAGTACCTGCGGCGAGGTGGAGGACTCCTCCTACGATAATCATCTCGAGGGCGACGACCCCAAGAGGGAGGTGGGCCACGATTTCGACTTCTTTTTTCACCATTCGACAGTTCCACTCTTACACGGCAACCACACAGTGTTCTACGAGGGGGAAGAGACAAATTTAAAACAGTTTACCTTTCTGAGACATGTATATTAAAGCAGAAAGTAAACACTCCCAAGTTAGCTACTTTACAAACACGTTTGAATGTAAACTCTTGTAACACCAAAACAGTTTCAGTTCCCTTATTTTTCTAAAATTAAATGATTGAACTTTTTCTCCAGTTTAATTTCAAATTAAGCACAATTAAATGGGTTTTTAAAGTACCAACTGACAAGGAAACCAATTTTCTTCTACCTTTTTGTCAGAGACGGTCTGATTATTGAGCTCAATGCTAACTTGCCAACAGTTGCTACCTAAATGTGAAGACCCCTGGATTTATCCTCGAAGAACTAGTTCTCCTGCATCTTCATTGTGACTTCTTCCCTTGAGGTTCCAGCACTTATTACTTACTATGCTGTATTTATTGGCTCTCCTCCAACCACTCTCTAAGTAAACATCGAAGACAAGAGAACCATTTTGGCTTTTAGATCACCCTCTTCCCTCAATAATTGGCACATTAAGAAATCACAACCAAGAATAGCAGAAAAAGTCCATTACCCCCCACCCTTTATCCATACGTAGCCATTAAATTTAGATAAAACCATTATTTGGACAGCAACTGGGAACAGTGGGCTTTGGAAAACATTACTGCAACCTGCTTGAAGGAAGGACCTTTCATACAGCTTTACAGCCAACCCTCAGATCCTTTTTTTGGTTAAGGAGAAAAGAGTCCCATTTAAGGCACTATTGACATGCTCCAGGACAGAAATTCTGAAGCAGAACTGATTTTTGAATCTGAAGGATGAGCTGTTTTCCTTGATTTCGTGAACTCCGATGGTTTCCAAATGTAGGTAGGGGAGAAGGAAAAAACTCAGGTGTTACTTGGTCAACTAACAGAACACTATAAACACAAAGGAAAATAGTAACCAATTCACACTTCCTGGAATTATTCCGAACACATAAAAGCAAAGGTAATATAACAGTACAATAAAACCCTGTGTAATTATCATTTGTAAACAATTTTAAACAATTATCAGTCCACATTCACTACTAGTCATAAAAAAAGTAAAAAAAAAAAGTTATCATTTATGACCAATCTTAAATATTTGATTCCAGTTATTTTTAAAGACTTTAAAAAGCCATCTAAATACCACATGTCCCAAAGATTTTAAATAGTAAAAGCACAGACAACATTTACCATTACTATAAATTAATCATTAAATTACCTTCCATCTAGCTCTCGGACAGCATCAGCTGCATCTCGGGGATCTTCGAATTCAACAAATGCAAAGCCGGGAGGGTTTCTAGCAACCCACACACTTCGGAGTGGTCCATAATAGCCAAAAGCCCGTTCCAATTCAGTCTTGTTGCCATTGTTTCCAAGATTACCTACGTAAACCTTACAGTCCAATGGACAGGAATCACGATGCATTTCTGTAACAAAAGAACACCAAAAATATTAATTTATCCAAATCATCTACAGTTAAAAACACAGATCCTCAGGGAAGAATTCCAAAATGCTAAAACACCAAACAAGAAATACTACTCTTGAACATCCATTCTCCCCAATTCTTACTCACAGCCTTAGAAAGCCAGCAAATTAAGAGTTATTAACCACAATGTGAGCCATGAGTTGGGGACTTAACCTATCATTTTATTTAATCCCCAAAATAAAGCATTTAGAAAAGCAGGGTAATCTGCTCAGAAACAAATTCTGCTGGGGACTTGAAAACCAAATGGAACAATGATGAAGACAAGAAAGCCAGTACTTATCTTACACCACCAGGTAAGTGATAGCTAAGTGCTTTCATAAGCCAAAACTTAACAAGTTTTAATAAAATAAGGCCAGCATTTTTCACTTAAAAAATGCCTTCTTTGATGCTACAGAAACTTTTCTTTTCTACAGGAACAAGGTTAATACCTACCACATGTCATTAAATAGATCAAAGTCTTATGCAGTAAAAATTCGTCAAGCAGAAGACCAAGTGTCAAGCTTTTAAAAAATGTAAGCTCACAGCAGTATTCATAGTAGCCAAAAGGTGCTAATCCAAAAGTCCACCAACAGATAAATGGATATGCAAAATGTGGTACACAGTCATACAACGAGGTATTATTCAGAATGAAGTACTGACAAATGCCACAATTATTGAACAATCGCGAAAACAATTATGTTAAGTTAATGAAGCCAGACACAACGTGCAGACATATCAATCCATGAATATGCAATATCTAAAATGGGCAAGTCTATAGAGACTGACCAGTGGCTGCCAGGGTCTGGAGGAAGGTGGGACCTGAGGGAACTGGGGGTGACTACTTAATGGGTACAAGTCCCCTTAGGAGGCGATGGAAATGTTTTGGAACTAGATAGAAATTATGGTTGCAAAACATTTGAGGACGTACTTAATACCACTGAACTGTACACTTTAAATCTTGAATTAAAGATGTGAACTTCACTTCAATAAAAACACTAAATTACAAAAAGACATTTCTTACTCAAAATTACTGCACTTCCAAGGGCTTATTTCCGATGAACCTTCAATACTCAAGTCACTTCAGCAATGAAATCAACGTATAGACCCGTTTCAATTACATGAAAGCAACCTACTCAATAATTCAGCTTGAAGCAGCTTTCCATAAACACCACGTTCTTCTCACTCCGGGCTTATCTAATTAAAAAACCCAGTCAGGGCACATCCGAGTTGCCGCGACCACACCCTGTGCCCAGGAGTTAGTCTTCAGACGAAAGCATTGGTGGAAATTAATTTTTTAAAAAAACACCGCCATGACCACTTTCAGGCCTACGTATTAACGGGAAGCAGCTATAAGAACAATGCAGCTCAACTTCAAGGAAGATCGTCCGGTTAAATGAAAAGTGATTTAGATTAAAGCTGTAAAAAAGTGGAATCAAATTAAAACTACATGAAGACAAAGGTCAAGTACGAAAGCCATTTACTATGAACCGAAAAGTCCAGTCTTGATCACTAACTCGAGAAAAAAATCCTAAGAAGCTTCCCGAGAAAATGAGCCCCTCCCCCACCAAAAAAAAGGCGCCATAAAAATTGAAAGGCCGCGACCTGGAGTACAACTCGGTTACCGGCTCCCCCTCTTCATGCCAACTCCCGGCTAATTCCCTATCTCGGTTCATCCCCCAATGAAGGGTATAAACACCTCCATTCCAAGGCTGGGAAACCCTCTGATGGGCCGGTGGACCCCGCCACCGCCCCGTGCTGAACGTCACAAAATGGCGGCGGCGCCTCTTTGTCTCAATCTGGCGCCGCCATTGGGCCTGGCTCCACCTCGGCACTGTGAAAGTTCCAATTCCCACGTCATTCCTTCTGTCGCCGTCTCTTACCGAAATCTAAAGTTTAAGTGCGGAGGCTCAAGTCCTCACGCTCCGATGGACCGTCCCGCTCCGCTCCGGCCGCACTCCCACAGAAGGTCTCCCTCACCCGGCGTCCACGAAATGGCGGACCACCGCCTTCTCCTCGCCCTTATTTATACGCCGCACTGGAAATCACATGATTGGACGAACACGCCCAATCAGAGGCGGAGGAGGCCGTGACGTAACGACTACAAGCGCAGCGGGAGCCGCGGTTCCTGGGAGCGCGCTTGGGCCGTGCAGCCGTGTGGTGGAGACGTGCGCTGTTGCGCGCTCGTCGCCACGACCCTGGCGCTTGCCCGGGTGTTCTTCCGTCTGCCGACCCGCGGGTTTCGCACAGACCCCTCTACCTCACGTCCACATGGGCTGGGGTTTAATAAACAAAACCATTGCCATCATTACCAAGCACTGATAGAGCCGTTGGCTCCTAACAAGATTAAGGTATTGGCTGGGTGCGTTAATTATTTCGCCTTTGTGAGTGGTTAGTCAGGAACTAAGAACGTCGCGTTTACAAACGTGGCTCAGAGTTGCTCCCAAGGTTACTGAGCTGTTCGTGACCAAGCTGGCACCAGACTGTGGCCGCCTAAGTCCCAGACTTAAGGAAAAGCCTGGCTCGGAAAGTTTGCCCGACTCTAGCAGGTTTCCCCCCTTTCACCCAAACTTCCAGGATTTGGCTCAGACGGCAAATCAGACCGGTCGGGTGATGTGGAAACTCACCTTTAGCAAAGAACAGGAAAGGGAAGTTTCTGAAGAAGATTGAGTTTAAATTCTGGGCCCCCAAGCAAATGCCAAGCAGGGTAGCTTGGGCCTTTCTCCTGGCAGCGCTTGCTCTGCCTGGCAAAAGCTGCTGAATTTACCTGGGGCTCTTCCCCTGGAAAGACAGAGCCGCAAAACTAATTAACTATATTGGGGTAGAGATACTGCGATTGTGTTAGAAAAATCACCCAAGATCTCCCTCTCCTGAACAGTTCAGCTAGGAACTGTCTGGTGCCCCCAAACTTACCCCTACCCCAAGCCCCTTTCAGTCTAGTCTGACATACTGCTGAATTTAGTTATGTCTGCTCTCGGAAAAAAAGAAAAATAACCCATATTTTCAATGATTTACTCCCGCTTTGCTGAAAGATATGCCAATTATTTTTTATCTCTCCCAGATATTTTTCCTTTGAAGCCTTGTCTCTTATTGTGTCTCCAAAAAGTTCATCTGTAGTGGAGGGAAAAATACAAAGATTTGATAGCTCTAAGCCTGGTTTCCTCGCTTGTAAAATGGGATTTCATACCACAAGGGAAGAGGGGGAGTGGGCACAACAGCTGTTGAGCCAGGCCTTGTGCTGGCCTTGCGTGGGGTGTTTCCCAGGTGAGGGGGATTCTAGCAAATCTTTTCTCTTTCTCCTTTCTCTCTCCTCTAGATCTTCTTTTCTAGCTTACTTATATTTGCCTTGATTTACTCCCCTCCTCTGTGTAAGCTTTTCTCCTCTTTTTAATTTTATTTTCTTCTATCAAATCAAAGGCTCTGAAGTCAGACAGTCCTGGATTTGGATGGCAGTCCACACTGCTTGTTGCTGCTGAAGTGTCAGAATCCCTTAACCTCTCTATTTAGTTTCTTCTCTCTGAAATAAGATAATGACACCAGCCTTGCTGGATTGTTATGTGCTGTTAAGGTTTTTGTTTTGTTTTTTTTGGTGGGGGGACAGGGTCTCACTCTGTTGCCCAGGCTGGAGTGCAGTGGCATCATTGTAGCTCACTCCAACTCCTGGGCTCAAAGGACGCCAGCCTCAGCCTCCCAAGTAGCTAGGATTACAGGCACGAGCCACCGCGCCTGGCCTGACCCGACCCTAACTTTTAATGAGCAGCACTGATCCCATTTCTCTGGAGTCCATGTTTACCAGATGGTTCTTCCTAGATTTTTGCCTGAATAAGCTCTTTAAAACAGGATTCTGATCCTTTTGATTATTTCAGGTTGACAACCTCATGTAAGTGGAATCGTGTAATATTTGTCTTTCTGTGATGGGATTATTTCATGTAGCATGACGTCTTTAAGGTTCACCCATGTTGTAGCATACTATGTATTTTACATGATTCCCTTAAACAATTTTTGGATCATATTACAAACTTAATCGTTCATTCATTCAAGAAGTATTATTATGTCGCTTCTGTTTTTCAAACACTGAGATGGATTTGGAGAATAAAATGGTAAGCCAAAACAGAGCCTCAGCCTGCCATCCCTTCCCATAGAGAGAGGAAATTAGTGAGATAGCGAGAATCACACAAATAGTTGTGAAATGACTCGGAAAATGGTCTGGAGGAGAGGGAAATGGTGCCCTAAAAATATATCGTAGGCGAGATTGGCCTGATCAGGTAGAGCAAAGCTGGCTTCCCAGAGGAAGTGATGACTGGGTAAAAAGGAGGCAATAACAGGCAAGGTTTGTGAAAGAGAAGAGTAAGGGAGTGTCCCTGGAAGAGGGTACAGCGTGTGTAAAGCTCCTACGGTAAATTAGAGGAATTAAGAATTTAAAAAAAAGACCATTGTGGCTAAAGCATAGAGTAAGGGGTAGATTTGAGATTTCATTAATGATACGTGTTATGGACTGAATGTTTGTGTCCCTCCAACATTTATATATTGAAAACCTAATCCCCAATGTGATGGTATTAGGAGGTGGGACCTTTGGGCGAATTAGATCAGGAGGGTGGAGTCCTCATGAATGGGATTAGTACCCTTGTAAAAGGGACTCCAGGGAGCTCTCCCACTCTCTTTTTTTCTGCCATGTGAGGGAACAAAGAGAAATGAGCCGTCTGTGACTGCTCTGTGACTGAAAAGGGCCTTCAGCAGCACCTGACCATGCTGGTACCCTGACCTCAGACTTCCAGCCTCCGGAACCATGAGAAATAAACTTCTGTTGTCCACAAGCCACCCAATCTGTGGTATTCTGTCATATCAGCCCAAACTCAGACAATATGTAAAAT